GTAAGCGTGGTGAAGCCAAATAAATGCAATATCGGTCTGCCATACTGTGAGCCTGTTGAACTGACCCTCTGCTGCGCTGCGCTCTTATCGAGATGGATTTATAACTGAACGAAAGTCTACATCTTTTTATCATCTCTGTGGGTAACAACACATAAAAAACAAGTTTTTTCTCTGACAACTTGGGTGTGAAAAACTAAGGTTGTTAAAGCTTTGCTCTGTGCGACGTGCAGCGGGAGGGAGGGAGGAAATGATCCTGCGACACAATGGCAAGACGTAACTTTTCTACAGCGGGAGGGGAAAATTTTGAGGATTTATTCTTTCTATACGTGTTTTAAAACTATTTTTAAAGCTATATTTCTTCATTTATTTTCAGAATATTTTGAATAAATGGCCCTATTAAAAAAATAAATAAATTGTTTACCTGCCTGAATATGGGCTTTACCTGCCCCGGGCAGTAGGATTTGTCGAACCCTCATGAACATAATGAAGCTGACTCTGGCAGATAACGGCAGCAGCTTTAAGCTGTCAGATTTAGTTTGAACCTGAAGCCGTTCATCAGGATGTCTCAGCACACTCGTCATGTTTCATCAGGTCTGCTTCGACTGTGCTGCGAAGAACCCCAGCTGGGCGAGCATCTCGTACGGCGTGTTCCTCTGCATCGACTGCTCTGGCATCCACCGCTCTCTGGGAGTGCACCTCAGCTTCATCCGGTACCTCCTGATGATCCGAGGCGTCAGCTGGGAAGTACCAAACCCTGTGTTTGTTCAGTAGTGTGAATGCTTTGTGTTTCTTCCCTGCAGCTCCACTGAGTTAGACTCCAACTGGAACTGGTTTCAGCTGAGATGCATGCAGGTCGGAGGCAACGCCAACGCGGTGAGTTTGAACCTGGTGGTTGGCTGTGATCCGTTGGGTTTGTGGTTGGATGACCTGTTTCTGACGCGTGTCTCTGTCTGAAGACGGCCTTCTTCCGTCAGCACGGCTGCTCCACGAAAGACACCAACGCCAAGTACAACAGCCGTGCAGCCCAGATGTACAGGGAGAAGATCCGGCAGCTGGCCAACGCAGCTTTGTCTAAATATGGAACAGACGTGAGTTTGGAGAGAGYGGAGATGGTTTTATAAGGATTTATAAATAAATGCAGCACAAGAGTAAAGCAGAAATTCTAAAAACCTGATCAGCTGTGTTACATCGTGTTAAATCTACGGCAGAGCTATGGTTCACTATGTTTTCAGGTGATAAGTTTCTGTCTGCAGGTCCAGAGTGCAGGGTGGACATGATGTATCATTAACACTCAGGTGATGAGAAATGAAATAATTTCATCTAAAACTCCTGTTTTCCTGYAGCTGCACATCGACTCGTCTGCAGGAGGAACTCCTGCTGCTCCTGAGARGAAGGAGGAGGAGGAGGACTTTTTCACAGAACAGACACAGGTTTGTTTTCACATCAGACTGCTTATTAAATGACAGGAAACTATTGTGAGTACACAACTGTGTGATGTTGTCAGTCAGGTGTTTTATTCATTAATATTAAATCAGCGTCACAGCTTTTTGTTTCTTTAGATGTTTTTGTAGAGATATTTTGGCAGTGGTGGGCACCAGTCCCCTAAAGCTCGAATACCATAACCGTGGACCTAAATTTCTCCTTTATGCTTTAGGGGGTTTTACTAGTTTCTTCAAATGATGTGCAGATTTTCGCTTTCTAAATTTAGAATTGAGTAGCGCTAATTGCAAATAATGTTTCACATTCAAACGTCARTTTTGTCTAAAGTACAAATAGAGCCGTTTAAACTACTACGTTTAGTAGCCACATAATTCAGTAAAACTGAAGCAGCATTGTGTTCACAGAGCTTTGTACTCTGACTTCTGACTCTTCTAGGTGACAGTTTTTATTTAGTAGAGTTCCCACAATTCTTTGCGTGGCAGGAAGCAGTTACAATTTTTTCAATGGGTGACAATCCACCTGCAGTTCTGATCTGCAGAACCACACTCAGCTGTGCAGTTTGTACCTCCTCTCTGAGGGACACCGCAACAATAAATATTAAATAAATAAATAAATAAATAAATATACAATAAGACATATACATAAGAAAATTACCAAGAAGCAGCAGAACTCGCAATCCACAAATATTTGTGTTTTACAACCATGATTTAAAAGTCTGTTTCAACAAATCACCTCCCCATTCTGCGCCAACATGTTCCAATCTGTCAAAGAAAATGATCTTACCAGTAGAGGTAGTAAAGCACTGACTTGTTACTTACCTGAATGTTTTCTGGTAAACACAGATAAAGTTGTGCTTTAAAATTAGCTTTTGCTAAGACCTAAATAAGTTGACTAGCGCTTTAGAAATTGCACAACTAAAATTTGAATTAGCGCTGCCCACCACTGTTTTTTGGTGTTTGTAAAAGAGGTAAYCGGTGCTCTTCTTGAAGCTGAACCTGAAGGTTTTGTGTGTCGACCTGATCTGTGAGCGTATTTTCCTGTCTTCAGGGCAGTAACGAGTGGAACATGGCTCCAGCCTCGGGGACTCAGCAGAATGGAGCTGCTGTRACCTCACAGCTGATGGACACGACGCCTAAAACCCAGGATGACAACCGTGAGTAAAGTTGAKCCGTGAGTTCAGGTGCACTAACCTGTGACCTGTGCAGGTCACAGAGTTCTGCAGCCTGTTGGTGCTCAGGTTAAACGTGTCTAATTAACACGTCAAACAAATATCCAGATGCTTCCAGCCACAGAAGAGGGAGAGTTGTTCAGAAACCAGATGCATTTCTCTGAAACCAGTCACACGGACTGGTTTCTGCTGAGAACGCGCAGCAGGTGTTGGACTTCTCTTCATGCTGTAGCAGTCGGTTGGTTTAGGGCTGTTTACACTTGAGATCTACCTGAAGTGATGACGTGTGGTCTGTGACCACCTGGTTGTCAGATTAAACAACAGATTTATTAGAGTTAAGATTAATGATCTGCTGTCTTACATCATATATCGGTTTTACAGCATATATATCTGTCTTACATCATGTATCTCTTACAGTATAAATATCTGTCTTACAGTATATATATCTGTCTTACAGCATATATCTCTTACAGTATAAATATCTGTCTTACAGTATATATATCTGTCTTACAGTATAAATATCTGTCTTACAGTATAAATAT